CAAATAAATCACCACAGCTAGAAAGAGCATACTAAAATAAGTAAATTATTGCTAAGTTTGGTTGCGAATTGTTACAAAATACGGAAAATATAGCCTTGCAAAGTTTGCAAATTTTGTACACTTTTGTATTGCATGCGAAAATTGCAATTATACAGAAGGCTACATTTTCTACATATTTTACAACATTTTGCAAGCAAACTTTGGAATTTTACTAATTTTAGTATGCCCTTCCTGGGAATATACTTTTTTTGCTAAGATAAAAAATTAGTCTATAATGGGAATGTCTATTGGTCCCCATTACCTATTTTTCTTTCTCTAAAATAAACAGCTAGAGTTTTTGTTTCTCTAAATAAAGATAAAGAGCTAGAGGGGGGGGAGCAAAATTTATGTTCTTGTTTTGCCTGTTGGGGGGGGGGCTTTGAAAATTTTACTTGTCTTAAGAGGGGGGTAACGAAAAAATATTATAACTGTAGAGTTTCTCCTCAGTCCCCCCCTGTACAATAAATAATGAGCGGTCCCTTAATAGGTAAGGTTAATGGCCAGAACTAAATGATAAACAATATTCTATAATAAACCCAAATTAGTTCAGCACCATTGGTTCTTATAACACTGTTCATTCCAATACTAGAACATCAGCAATTAACAAAAGTTGGAGTTTCATCCGATGACATGTATGCTTCTAACCATGCTGTCCATGCAGCTATCTGACAGTTTTCAATTTTCAACATTGATTCCCAAAGCCATTATTCTCAAGATTTGCCAAAAAGGTTTTCCAAATATTAAAGTACAGAATTATATTACATCACTCATCACTGTTCATTTTACATTCTTCAAGTAGATGCATGTTTACAGTACAGTATTTCTTGTGCATTTATAATTAAATCTTGCAATATCTTGTTCAAAACCCTCAAATCCAAGATAATCGGCAGCCAGCCATGTTACCAGTAAGATTTCTAGTCTGTTAATTTTGAAATGACCAAGGTTGTACTCGAATATAAATATTTATACTTTAATTATTGAATAGCCCCTGTATATCGCTGACAAGGTATGCAGTTGTCGCGATATAAGATGTTCTTTTGCTCGCCAAAGGGCTAATTTTACGCATAATTGTATCTCTAAATTGATCATTCCTGACTTTAAATTCCAAAAGCCACGCGAGAAGCAGTTTAAGACGTCTTTACAAGTCCAAATATATCATAAATTGCAACAAATAATCCATTCTCACTCCTTGCGTAAAAATATGCCCAGTCAGCGTTTTTAGCTGGAGCGACTGTTTACTTCCGCTTCCGGGGGCACCACTGTTCTATGGTGTTCCGGTTTGGATTATCCCAGGGCTTCTGAGAGCAATAAGCGCAGAAGCCCTGGGTACGAGGTTGTGGTTCATGCTGTTTACGCATCCTCGTTCCCAGGGCTTCTCGGCTGCCTGCGTTGCCGTAAGCCCTGGGACAAGCCCACTGAGCTATACTTATATATCTGGAGATCGTGCTCCAATACCTCGTCAGTCAAAAATGTGTGGCCAAAAACATGGCGGATTTTGGCCAAATTTACGTCATTTTGACGTCACAATCGACCTAAATTTATGGTGAACACCACTGACCTAAAATGCTAACGTGAAGAAAAAAGTTATTCACACCCCCCTTTCAATTTGCTTAAAACAGAAGGAAGTAAATTCAAAATTTCGGTCGGAAATTTCTATATTGAAACGAGACATTTGCAACCATGCCAACTTTTTGTTCAATTCCTGGTTGCCAAAAATCTACTGAAAGAAAGGACCTGTCCTCACATGCGTATTAAGGCTCGTATAATCTCTTTTTTTTGTAATAATTTAACGCATGCTGTATTTGCTGTATTGACTATTGAATGCGTAAAATTGTGAATTGAAAATTATGAAATTTATTGGCAAGCAACATACAATACAATGTTAGTGTACTACAGTGCAAAAGCAGAACAAAATTTTAAAATGTTGACAAGCTTGTGGAGCTGTTGTTGAGCAAGTACTTATTTTTATGCAAGTTGATGGATGTGATGCAGTGATGAAATCTTATCGATATCCTAACAGATAATGCTTAATGTTAAAAAAATTCAAATGAGAATTTTAACAATGTGATAAAGATACGACTAGCTTTAAATGTACAAAGCCTTTCACTCATTGTATTGTCTTTATTGTGGACTAAACCATGTGTTGTCTAGTGTGGCATTGTTTATAATAATTGTAAGTTATAGGTATCGTATTGAACAGTGTATTAACTAGACACTAAAAACAATTGTTCATTTACTTCAAAGCTTTCCAGATGAGAAGAGATTCCCTGAATTGCACAGCATATGGGTGAAGAATATAAGCAAACTTATGCCAGACAGAGTGAGTTTGTTCCTATGAAAAATAGTCGTTTGTGTTCAAAGCATTTTAGTGCCGATATCTTTGAGGAGGATTACAGCCAGAGACCAGTGTTAAAGCCATATGCTGTACCAACAATCTTTAATGATTGCTTTGGTCAGCTTGGTTGTGATCTTTACAGTTTATTATCAGTACAATTAATGGCCATACTGTACATGAGGGGTAATTAACCCATTAAGTGCCAGTGCTCTCCCCTTGACGAGTAAAATTGTCTGGCGTTAGACAGAGTAAAATACTAAAATAGGGTGCTTCGCCACTCAATGGATTAAATTTATTCCTTAATTTTTCTGCTAACAACTTTAAGTTATTTGTACACATTTTGGTCTGTTTAGCTAAGCCAAGATTGATACATTTACATTTATTTTGACCATTTGGGTTAGTGTACAAATTAGGCTAGCATAATTACTGTAGGTGCTGACCATCAAGTAGGGATTGACATGCATAGAATTGGTTGAGCAGTTTATTTAATTAAATTGGTGTTGTATGTGTTTAAAAATAAAGAATAAATTTTGTTGTGATTTGAAATTGAATATATTATTTATTCTTATTACTAAATGTAATTATATAATTATCTTGGAAAATCTTTTTTTGAATAAAATATTTTTTTTAATAATTCTTCACTGTTGTTCCAATTGAAGTGTTCCTCAAATATTGATTCAATACATTACCTTGGGCTAACCAATTCATTTGATTAAGTTCCTCAAGATATTCATACACTTCCTAGTATAATTGTAAACTTCCTGTTAAATGGTTTGAATGCACCAATCACCTTTGTTGTTTGTGCAACTAACCAATCATAAATAGAAAGGAAGTGACCAGAAATGATTAAATACTTGGAATTGGCTCTTTCACAGGAAGTGTATGAATATCTGGAGGAACTTGATGAAATGAGATGCTTGTGTGATGTTACTCTGAGTGTATATCCACACCGGGCAGGCTTGAAAAATATGCCTGGCCACAGTGGGATTTGAACTTATGACCTTTGGAATACTAGCCCAAATGCCAATGCTCTGTCAACTGAGCTATGCGGTCAGGTCGGTTTGAATCCCAATGTGGCTTGGCATATTTGTCAAGCTTGCCCGGTGTGGATATGCACTCAGAGTAACATCACACAAGCATCATATTCACAAATATCATGGTTATTAGATTACACTGGTATCGAAGGAACTAGACTCAGTTCCGAAATATCGCATACTCGAACTGCCCCGACTGTATAGCTCAGTTGGCAGAGCATTGGGCCAGTATTCCAAAGGTTGTAGGTTCAAATCCCACTGTGGCCAGGCATATTTTTCAAGCCTGCCCAGTGTGGATATCCACTCAGAGTACGTAACATCACACAAGCATCTTATTCACCTGAGTACATGTATTACACCAACACAGCAAATATCTTGATGGAATGAATTGGTCAGCCCGAGGTAAAGTATTGAATCAATATTTGAGGAACACTTAAAAATAAGGTATGAATCGCATAAAATGCAGATATCAAAATCAAACATTGTAACTCGAGCATAAAAATGTGCATATTTGTTTTAAAAGGTGATTGTTCCTTGAATGTTCAATGAAATAGTGCCATTGCCTTTTACAAGGAAGACCATTATAAAGAAATACACTTGACTTTCTTCATTGCCATCTGGTACTTAGTACAGATATCCCATATTTTCTTGATAAATTCATACCTGAAAGCGGAATACATACAGGTGTAAAAAACTTTAATGGTGATATAAGTGCTTTATATTCCAACGAGTTGCTTTTCCCCACAATTTACTAATAGAATAAACTGGTATTAAAATCTCTAAAAAAACCTTTGTCACTCAGGGAAATTTATAGCAGTACGGTTTTCAACAAGCTATATTTGCTTAATTTTACTTGCTGGGGATTGTTATAATACTCGTGTTTTAAAGAATAATCTTGATAGTTCAGTTGCAACCAATGGGCCATTCCATTTAATATACACACCCCCCTGTGGACGAAAATTTCCGAGGGGGGTTGAAAAAGCCGTTTCTGAGGGGTTGTGTGCATCGGCATCCTTTGATCTTTGCGTTTTTTCCGAGCGGTAAGGCAAAAATTTCTTAATTTCTGAAGGGGTGTTTGTGTCGGCACTTTGATCTTTTTTTCTTAGGGGTTCAAATTTTATTGACTTCGTCCACAGGGGGGTGTGTACATTAAATGGAATGGCCCAATGGTTGCAACACAAATTCACAATACAACAAGAATTGATAAATCATTTCAATGACTTACATGCTTTGTTCTTGTGGCTGTCAAGCTCCATTCATGTCTTTTCTTATTAATGGCTTTCGGTCTTTATTGATTTATACGCGCAGTTAGAATAATACTGTATTTTCAAAAGGACGAAAATCAAAAATATACTCTCTGTCGATCAACTAATATAAACATACAAAATCACTGTAAAATCCAGGGGGGGTTGAACTTTGTCGCCCACGAACATTCGAGCCACGGGTCAGTGGAAACCCCCATGAAAATAGGTCGATTGTGACGTCAAATCCGCCATGTTTTTGGCCACACACTTTCGTCGAGAGCACGATCTCCAGATATATTAAGTATAGCTCAGTGGACAAGCCGAAGCAGAAGTGATTTGATTGGTCGTTGGAAATAGAGTGAAATATGAAAAGTCCATTCATCAAGTGGATGTTTATATTCGGCAATATGGCTGCCTTCAAGGAGTGCGCGTTCGAAATACGAAGAAATACAAACGTATACTGCTTGTTTTCTATGGATTAATGGAGATAATTTGCAAACAGAAAGAAAGAAAGTAACAAAGTGGGCAATTATAAAGTAGAAGTAAGCAACAATATCGAAGAAACGTCAATTATAAAGCCATTAAAAGGTTTCTTCATTTTAACATTTTCTTGTTATAAAGTTGTCTATTATTAAAACATTGTGCTCAAGTATAATTGTAAAATTTTAGGCACACTGTAAATATAAAATGTTTAATAATATATATTTACGATAGTAAAGTTTTAATGGTGTATGTGTTTTATTAAAATGGCCCTATATTAAAATGGCCAATTGTAATTTATAAATATAGCATATAGAATATTATAGGTGTATTTTACTATTTCTGAATTTTCTCAGTTGTATTATTAGTGAGTAATTTTAATAGCTTTTAATTAAATACAGTGAATAAGCTTATAAGCATATTCAATTGTGCCAGTCATTTGAATCCCTGCACCTTTGGCATACCAGAGGGGAATGCAAGGACAATCGCCTCTTATTCACTGGTTTATCATTTCTTGGCAACCAGGGAAGACACTTACTTTCAGTGTCCAAGTCGAGGAATGAATGAGGTCATGGGGGGGGGGGGGTCAGTTAGTCTTTTATATAAAATGTTGAGATAAAACAGTCAGCTATATAAATGCTGAAATAAAGCAGTCGGCTAGGAAAGGCTTAGTTTTTATATAAATGCTGAAATAAAGCAGTCGGCTAGGAAACTGTTTTACAGAACAGTAAATAAAGGAATGGTTTAGTCTTTTATATAAATGCTGAAATAAAGCAGTCGGCTAGGAAAGGCTTTTACAGAACAGTAAAGGAATGGTGGAACTTCACTGAATTTCACACACCAAATTAAGTGAATGCCCCTGGTATGCCCGAGGTGGGGGTCTCGAATTCTTGTGTCATATTGGAAGAGATCATGAATTTACACTGTTTCCTGTCAACAGTTCAGAATAGAATACTTATTCTGTTGACTTATTGCAAATCTTGTAAGAATTGAAATTATAAAATAAACTATTATTATTGACAAAACTGAAAATTTGTATATGTATATGCAGGCTTCTAGCCAGGAGACACCCTACCATGTCTGTATAAAAATGGATTTTAAACAAACCATTACAAAAATGACATAAAAGTAGCTTTGTATCCCGAAATTCTGGTTTAAGCCTCCTGCCATAGATATATTGAACTGGAAAACTTCATATTTTTAATGTGGAAATGTGTAGTAATATATTGATAAATCAGAATTTTAACCCCACCTCCCTTACCATCACTCAGGTATACATCCTGTTGTGGTGGAGATTTAGATTGGACACCTGGATAGATACTAGAAAACACTTAGTCACACTCTGGATAATGGGGGGGGGGGTTGGTAATGAAATCCCTGATGTGAAATTGTAAGAAATTTAAAAATTGACCAGTGATAACTTTACATTATGTAAGGGAGTCAAATTTGCTAACATTACCCTCCAATCATTGGCTATCCCATTCGACCTCAAATGATTTGGCCCCTATCTGAAACAAAAGGTGCACTTGCATGTAGATAATATATTGGAATGCAGAAAATATTATGTTATACTTTAATCTGAAAACAAAAATTTCCCTGAAACAATTAACATACATTAGGCCATAATTCATGAACATAGTTTTGACTGTCAGATGTATAAAACAGCATAGTGAGTTGCAATCATGGCCAAAGACATATTAGGTTAATTATTTTACATAATTATTTTTCGTCATTTGCCATGCATGTAATCTGTGAAGGATTCAGGATTATCCGGCATGGAAATAACGTTTTAAACGTGCTATATAAAACGGTATTCAATATTCACACTACATGATGGGCATAGGGCCATTCCATTTAATGTACACCCCCCCCCCCTATGGACGAGGTCAATAAAATTTGAACCCTTAAGAAAAAAAGATCAAAGTGCCGACACAAGCACCCCCCCCCCCTAGAAATTAAGAGATTTTTGATTTACCCCTCAGAAAAAAACGCAAAGATCAAAGGATGCCGATGCACACAACCCCTCAGAAATGGCTTTTTCAAACCCCCTCAGAAATTCTCGTCCATAGGGGGGTGTATAGATTTAAATCCAGCAATTCAAATCCAAAACTCATGGGGTCATGCATGACATGATGACATCTATCTACAATTTATATTTTCTTGAAATGTTAGGTGATTCATTGTTATTCACAAGTCAATGTTCAACAACATACGCTAGACGATAAAGCTTCGAATTACTTCTCTTTAATTTCCAGTCCGGCTTTATCCAGTCTTTGAAGTGACTTCACAAGCGCGTGTTGAAACAGGACATCTGTACAAAAACCCATGATGTTTCGAATCCACTTCGAGCACATTTCGACTCGATCATGTTTACATCATACATGAAAATTGATACATGTAATACGAGACCGAAATATGGTTGTATTTTGATGAATATTAACTATATAACGAAATATAAAACCCCAATATGTATAATTCCATTAGGTGGTCTGCACATATTCCCTTGATGGTGGAAAATACATCGAAACAAAAGAAAAATCCAATATTTTCTGCTCACCAACACGTCTCCACTCCTCAGTAAAAATTAGTGCATAGTCAGCATTTTTAGGTCGCAGCAGAACGCGTTTACTTCCGGAAAACACCAGAATTTGTGGTGTTCCGGTTTGGCTTGTCCCAGGGCTTACGGCAACGCAGGCAGCCGAGAAGCCCTGGGAACGAGGATGGCTGTTTACGTTTTTAAATCAACCAAGTGGAAGCACACATATCTTCTTCTCCAGCTGAAAACCAACACCGCCGAAAAACGTCTGCGCATGCGTCAATCTTAGTACCTTACTGAAATTTGCCTTGCGAACGTCTAACATTTAAAATCTAAAAAGAAACGGATTTAAATTAAAAATTATTATTTTAGACCGGGAGGCGTGTGAACATTTTTTGAAAAATTTAATATAAGACCTGGTTCAAACGTCGAATTTTGCATGTGTCGAATACAATTCGCATTTCATTCGAGCGAATTCAATGAAATTCGAAGTTTGATTCAAACGTCGCATTTTGCAATGCATTTAATTCGAAATTGTAAGTGTTGTAGAGTGTAGACACGCCCCTTTGATAGTTTTAATTAATAGATTGACATTTATTTTTAACCTAGCTGTGGTTTAACGTAAACAACAAGAGACAAGAGCAAAGTTTCGCTCAAAAATAAACACAGTAATCAGTATGTCAGTACACAGGCGGCCCAGACGTGTATTAGTGTATAGTAAATATATCATTATAGAATATACTACACAGTAAAATTTGTAATGAATTTTATATTTTAAAATCACATTTACTTGCCTACTTTGATTGTATGTGATCGTCTTTTATTTCTGAGCGACTTTACATTCGATGCCTGCGACTGTCTTCATAGGTGATAGTATTGAAAGCAAAGGCTAACGATTCCAGTTGTCAAACAGCCGACACGAACAATTCAAATCGAAAAATATCCCCCTTCAAATTGCTTTGTTCCCGGTAAAACTTCGCCAGCGTATAGAATAAACACCCAATATTAACATGTTCTGTAATTTTTGCAATGGATTTTTAGCGAAATGTTTCGAGACTAAAATTCTATGGAACTTAGAAAGACCGATAATTACTACGGCGCCTGCTTGGCCACCTAGCCTCCTACACCGTTTGGATTGTCAGGGGGGGGATTCAAATAAAAAACACCTATTTCGGGCAACAGCCAGCCAATCAACGCCGCGATACAGACTGTTTACAATATTTGAAATCTGATATTGCAATTTATCAACAACAAAACTCTTTC